CAAGAAGAAACTACGACCACCCACCTGGTCAGAACACCTCTCTGTTCTCTCCTCCTGCCTGGTCAGAACACCTCTCTGTTCTCTCCTCCTGCCTGGTCAGAACACCTCTCTGTTCTCTCCTCCTGCCTGGTCAGAACACCTCTTTGTTCTCTCCTCCTGCCTGGTCAGAACACCTCTCTGTCCACTCCTCCTGCCTGGTCAGAACACCTCTCTGTTCTCTCCTCCTGCCTGGTCAGAACACCACTCTGCATGTCCCCCTCTCCTCTACTTCCTCTTCCTGTGTCTCACCCTCTCCTCTCCCTCTCTCTTTGTGTGTGTGTGTGTGTGTGTGTGAGAGAGAGAGAGAGAGGTTTCCTATCTCTCTCTCTCTGTAGTTGGGGTTTGACTGTGATGTTTCCAATCTCTCTGTAGTTGGGGTTTGACTGTGATGTTTCCAATCTCTCTCTGTAGTTGGGGTTTGACTGTGATGTTTCCAATCTCTCTCTGTAGTTGGGGTTTGACTGGGATGTTTCCTATCTCTCTCTGTAGTTGGGGTTTGACTGTGATGTTTCCAATCTCTCTCTGTAGTTGGGGTTTGACTGGAATGTTTCCAATCTCTCTCTGTAGTTGGGGTTTGACTGTGATGTTTCCAATCTCTCTCTGTAGTTGGGGTTTGACTGGGATGTTTCCTATCTCTCTCTGTAGTTGGGTTTGACTGTGATGTTTCCAATCTCTCTCTGTAGTTGGGGTTTGACTGTGATGTTTCCTATCTCTCTCTCTCTCTGTAGTTGGGGTTTGACTGTGATGTTTCCAATCTCTCTCTGTAGTTGGGGTTTGACTGGGATGTTTCCTATCTCTCTCTGTAGTTGGGGTCTGACTGTGATCTATGAAAGTGAAAAACAGGAGAAGCCAGAGAGGCAGCAATGGTGAGTCCCTGAATGTGTGTGTGTCCTGTGTGTGTGTGTGTGTGTCCTGTTTGCGCTATACAGTATGTCCAGTATATCTCTAGGCCTTACTGAGCTACACCAGGGAAAAGAGGACAGCAGTGGGGGTATGATGTCAAGGGGGGGGGTATGATGTCAAGGGGGGGGGTATGATGTCAGCAGGGGGGTATGATTAATTAAAATCACAATTTAACCAACACCCATCTATTTTTGTGACTACCTGGACCTACCAATTGGGTTTTGAAGTATTGAAACCGAACCATATGGATTTGAATGGAAATTATTTGAATAAACATGAAAAGGTGAATGGAAGAAGCGCTCATCATTTCAAATAGGCTACATGTCATATTAAACAGCATAGAAACATTCTAAATACAGTGAGGGAAAAAATTATTTGATCCCCTGCTGATTTTGTGCGTTTGCCCACTGACAAAGAAATGATCAGTCTATAATTTTAATGGTATGTTTATTTGAACAGTGAGAGACAGAATAACAACAAAAAAATCAAGAAAAATGCATGTCAAAAATGTTATAAAATGATTTGCATTTTAATGAGGGAAATAAGTATTTGACCCCTTCTCAATCAGAAAGATTTCTGGCTCCCAGGTGTCTTTTATACAGGTAACGGCTGAGATTAGGAGCACACTCTTAAAGGGAGTGCTCCTAATCTCAGTTTGTTACCTGTATAAAAGACACCTGTCCACAGAGGCAATCAATCAATCAGATTCCAAACTCTCCACCATGGCCAAGACCAAAGAGCTCTCCAAGGATGTCAGGGACAAGATTGTAGACCTACACAAGGCTGGAATGGGCTACAAGACCATCGCCAAGCAGCTTGGTGAGAAGGTGACAACAGTTGGTGCGATTATTCGCAAATGGAAGAAACACAAAAGACCTGTCAATCTCCCTCGGCCTGGGGCTCCATGCAAGATCTCACCTCGTGGAGTTGCAATGATCATGAGAACGGTGAGGAATCAGCCCAGAACTACACAGGAGGATCTTGTCAATGATCTCAAGGCAGCTGGGACCATAGTCACCAAGAAAACAATTGGTAACACACTACGCCGTGAAGGACTGAAATCCTGCAGCGCCCACAAGGTCCCCCTGCTCAAGAAAGCACATATACAGGCCCGTCTGAAGTTTGCCAATGAACATCTGAATGATTCAGAGGAGAACTGGGTGAAAGTGTTGTGGTCAGATGAGACCAAAATCGAGCTCTTTGGCATCAACTCAACTCGCCGTGTTTGGAGGAGGAGGAATGCTGCCTATGACCCCAAGAACACCATCCCCACCGTCAAACATGGAGGTGGAAACATTATGCTTAGTGGGTGTTTTTCTGCTAAGGGGACAGGACAACTTCACCGCATCAAAGGGACGATGGACGGGGCCATGTACCGTCAAATCTTGGGTGAGAACCTCCTTCCCTCAGCCAGGGCATTGAAAATGGGTTGTGAATGGGTATTCCAGCATGACAATGACCCAAAACACACGGCCAAGGCAACAAAGGAGTGGCTCAAGAAGAAGTACATTAAGGTCCTGGAGTGGCCTAGCCAGTCTCCAGACCTTAATCCTATAGAAAATCTGTGGAGGGAGCTGAAGGTTCGAGTTGCCAAACGTCAGCCTCGAAACCTTCATGACTTGGAGAAGATCTGCAAAGAGGAGTGGGACAAAATCCCTCCTGAGATGTGTGCAAACCTGGTGGCCAACTACAAGAAACGTCTGACCTCTGTGATTGCCAACAAGTACAAAGTAATGTTTTGCAGAGGGGTCAAATACTTATTTCCCTCATAAAATGCAAATCAATTTATAAAATTTTTGACATGCATTTTTCTGGATATTTTTGTTGTTGTTCTGTCTCTCACTGTTCAAATAAACCTACCATTAAAATTATAGACTGATCATGTCTTTGTCAGTGGGCAAACGTACAAAATCAGCAGGGGATCAAATACTTTTTTCCCTCACTGTAGGTCAGGAGTCAGACAGGGAGCCTAAGAAGGAACGAAAATGAATTATTTAGGATATATTATTTATATTATTTCAAGGCTATAGCCTATAAAGAAACACATTGTGAAGCGTTTGCGAGTGCAACACACTAGGCTGGGAGGGAGTCAGGGACATTAATCACTCAGCATTTAAACAACATTTCCTTGTATTAAATCAATATAGTCTATAAATTGTGTATATTGGCTGTGACTTACTTACAAATTAAATGAAAAATGACTTATTAGTGCCTTTTGAGTTCATGTTTAGAATTCATTTTTAGAAACACAAGTTTGGCCAGTCTGTGGCTTCAGGCTCATGCGATGGTGTCTAGAGAATATCCTCTCCATGGTGCCTGGAGATCAAGCCAGCAGTGGAGAATATCCTCTCCACCCTGCAGAGCCACTGGGGAAGCTAAACACCCTTTTGGCCTCTCTCGCCAGGCTGGGCAGAGATGCAAAGTTGTTTTTAAAATGTTCTATAGGTAGGCCTAAAGGTTTTTAGGCAACATAAGCCAATCAAAATGGAAAGCTCCTTGAACGTGGGAAAATGCCAGGCCTATTGGGACAAAATCAATGATGGCCTATTGTATAGATAATAGAACGAAAATGAACGGAACGTTTAAGAGATCTGATTTTTTATTTATAAATACTTTGCTACAATGACACACTTAGTTATCTACCCACCTCCTTCCTTTCTGTTAGCATGTGCACGTAGTAAGTACACCATCATGCTTTCATGATACGTGCCTTTTCAGATTCCACAATGATTCTTTAGTTGTGGACACTGCATCACCACACTCCCTCTCTTGCTCTTGGTCCTCATCTATGTAAGTCACCTTGATTGAGCACCTGTGTGTTTGATCAGTTTCTTGCTGAAAATATTTAGCGAACTCCATGACAGTAGCTAAAGCAAGGGGCTATAATATAGCAGCACAAGTAGACTACAAATGCATGCTGGGAAGGCACGCCCTGAGCTGGTGAAGTGAGCGCTACTGGAGCCAAGTTGGAGCGGGAGAGAAGGATGACGCTCCAGCCTTTGGGAATCTCTCTCCGCCCTCCAGTCAAATTGGGAACGATCCGCTCCTCGCTCCACTCCAGCTCCGCTCACATACTCTGTTATTGGCACTCACCCTGGAACTGTCCCTGTATATAGCTACTGACCCTGGAACTGTCCCTGGATATAGCTACTGACCCTGGGACTGTCCCTGGATATAGCTACTCACCCTGGAACTGTCCCTGTATATAGCTACTGACCCTGGAACTGTCCCTGTATATAGCTACTGACCCTGGAACTGTCCCTGTATATAGCTACTGACCCTGGAACTGTCCCTGTATATAGCTACTGACCCTGGAACTGACCCTGGATATAGCTACTGACCCTGGAACTGTCCCTGTATATAGCTACTGACCCTGGGACTGTCCACTCCAGCTCCGCTCACATACTCTGGTTGTTGGGATTGTGTGTGGGAATGTGTACTAGGTCTACCTACCTCCCTCTCTCCCTCTCAATTCAATTCAAGGAGCTTTATTGGCATGGTAAACATATGTTAACATTGCCAATGCAAGTGAAATAGATAATAAAAAAAAGTGAAATGAACAATCAGAAATTAACAGTAACATTACACTCCCTCCTCTCTGTGTCTCCCTCCTCTGTCCCTCTCTCTCGCTCTCTCTGTCTCCTGTCTCTCCTCTCTCTCTCTCTCTCTCTCTCTGTCCCTCCTCTCTCTCTCTCTCTCTCTCTCTCTCGCCTCTCCATCTCTCTCTCCTCCTCTCTCTCTCTCTCGCTCCTCTCTGTCTCTCTCTCTCCCTCCTCTCTGTCTATCTCTCTCTCTCCCCTCTGAAGTTC